ACTGAGCCACCCAGGCGCCCTGTGGCTATTTTTTTAATGTTGTCTTTGAAGAACAAAACATTTGTAAATTTGATGAAGTATAATTTATCAATTTTTTAATGGATTGTGCTTAATGTCATATAAAATAAGACATTTGCTTAACCTAAGGTACAAAGACTTTCTTCTTTTTTTTTTTTTTTTAAGATTTTATTTATTTATTTGACACAGAGAGACAGACAGTGAGAGGGAACACAAGCAGGGGGAGTGGGAGAGGGAGAAGTAGGCTTCCTGCTGAGCAGGGAGCCCGATGCGGGACTCGATCCCGGGACTCCAGGATCATGACCTGAGCCGAAGGCAGTCGCTTAACCAACTGAGCCACCCAGGCGCCCCCGGGTAATGTTTTTTAAGGAGTCGACTGCGCCCACTAAAACCAAAACGTGCCCTCTTAAAGATGGATCGCAAGCTTAGTCTCAACCGTGCCAAACAACAAAATAATGAAAACGCAAGAGTTGTTACACAATTTTCCGCAGAACGCCATTTTGCCACAGAATGTTCGGGGTTCGTGCTGCAAAGCGCCAGTGTTGTGGTTCTCAGACCCGGGCTGATTTTGGCCCCAGGGACATTCGGCAACATCTGCAGGTAGTTCCAATTGCCACAGCTGGGGAGGAGGAGGATGCTCCCCGCAGGGCTCCAGTAAAAAGAGGTTAGGGATGCTCATAAACATCCTATGGTGTACGGGACAGACCCTCACGACAAAAATTAGTTACTTGGCTCCAAATATCAACTGTGTTAGGGTTGACAGACCCTGTGTTGGTATATTTCGATGGTACTTTTGCATTAAAAAAATTAGAAAAACCAAAAACTGAGAAGTGATATATATCTATATATACATATATAGAGATCTCTGTGTGTCTCTCTCTCTCTATATCTTTTGTATGTATATATAAAAGTAAGGGAATTATTACTGTGAGATACTTATTTAAATTTAAAGTATTTTACCTAAGTCATATCCAGGACACCTCATTTTAAGATTATTTTAGAAGCGGTTAATTGTTTATCGTAATTCAGCAAGGGACACTTCCTGCAGGTTTATCATTACTTGATGATTTCAGAGTGAAATTGACGTGGAAATATGGATCCTGTATCGGACAATTCTGCTCTGATAATCAACTTCCTAAGAATGCCAGTTTTATTTCTTCCTGAGGATTCTTCCTTTTTCTAAACTTTCTCTTGCCTTCTTACAGCAGAGGTTTTGTAAATAAACTTGGGATGAAATGCACCAGAATCTGAGCCATGGAAAGCCACTCTTCTACTATGAGATTGAGCATGAGAATCATTCTTTTTTTCGAATTCATCTCTTTCCTTTGCAGATTGGAAGCACTTACAAGGATAACAGAAGGACTTAGTCCCCCAAACCCTCACAATGTTTAGATTCTTTTTTTTTTTTTTCAGAAGGTCAAAAAGGGACACCAATTAAAGCCAGTTATGGGCTATATTCAGACGTTCCATATTTTTACCCCATTCCAGTAAAAGTTCCTCTCCAAAGAAATTTAGTCCAGAGATGGAATGAAAGAATGAAAGACATTTTATTTTCTCTCCTAGATGTTGGCAGCACTTCACTCCTACATGTCTGAGGTTGTTTTCATCTTGCAAAGTACTTTGATATTTGTGAATGTGGCTACATGGCTTAAAACAAGAACAGTGATAACTCATACTAATTATTCAGCTTGTACATTAATGCTTGACAAGAAAGAAAGGAACTTTTTCTTCCTTGATGATGGTTGTAAAAATTAAGAAACCCAGGAGGTACTGAAAGATCTGTGTTCTTGAGAGCAAAAAGCTTCCATGTCACAGAGTTCTTGCATCTAAATCATCAGGAGCACCCTGCAACAGAGGTGCTCATCCTTTCAGATTTCTAACCTGTGTAAGCCAGGTCAGATGAGGCCTGGTAGACCCTGTTCTCCTATCAGGCTTGGGGGTGGGGTGGGAGTGGCTACTCTTTTTTGTTATTGGCCACGAGTCTAAAACAGGATGAGGGATGAGGACCATCTCCCTCCCTCTGCCTATGATCTTCATTCCTGGTCAAGATGAAATTCTACTAAATCAGACATTCTTATGATAATTCAGCATTCCCTCTCCCAGAAGCTTGCAATAGAAATTGTGGGGGGCGGGGGGACATCTCATTGACTCTCTTTGAATGTCCCATTGGATGTCTAGAAGTTCAAATAGAATATTAATGAAATTATGTGGCCTATAGAATTAAACAATGAGGTCAGTTTAGGGAAGGGGAGTAAATAACCGTGTCGTTTAGATTTTATTAAATCTATAGGTTGCTTTGAAGTGAGTCTGGAATCAGAAGTGTATACTTCTCTTTAGTTCATTCTTTGGAATGTAGCTATTTCCTTTGAAGACCGAGCGGGAGATCCTAAAGAAGCAGTATGAAGAAGGCCATCTGGAAGGGTAGGACAGAAGATCTCGGGGGAAGCTGTCATAAACTCTCCGGAGATGGGTTCCCTTGCTGCAAGTCAACCACCTCCCCTCCCCCTACCTCCCAAAGTGTTTATGTTCACATTTTGCCGGGTGGTGGTGTCCCTCCATCCCTCCCACCCTGACCGGGGCCTTCCTGAGGGGCTGCAAGAGCTCTTCTTTGTAGGAAGGATCTGGATACCCTGGTTCGTCAGGCCTGAGCAAAACTGAGACATCAGATTCAGACCACTCTTCGTCTCAGTTTGCCATGAAACCTCTACTCTGACAGGAAATAAACCCCCCATTGTAATTCTTCCATAACTGATTTTTTTCTTCAGAAGAAATGACATCCAATTTGGTCACCAAGAAGTTGATACCTAGGTGGGTTTTACCTTCTAATGAATTTGTGCCAAAATTCAGTGTATCGCATTACAGAGTTTGCCAAGGAATAATATAAAGGACCAGAAAGAAAATGAGCCATGTAGAACACTGCTCCTTTAGTCCCATTCTTCAAAGAAATATAGACAATATGTCATAATATGACAACACAAATACCTGTCACTAAATCCATCCAGCTGTGACAATGTTGTCATAGTAGTAACAGATGTGTTTGTTCCTTTCTCATTTTTAGGTATTTTCAATGGGTATTTTCTATTCCTTTCTCTAGAATGATTCCCCGCCTTCGATTATCCTTGATATCCTTGACACGACAGGTGTTAAGGACAGGTCTCGGGACTTCACTATTTTAGTTCTTTGAATTTTCTCCTTCTCCAAAATCACTCAACAAGGCAACTAATGAGTAAATGTGTGGGCTGACTTGAGATTCCATATTTTTTTTTAAAGATTTTATTTATTTATTTGAGAGAGAGAGAGAATGAGAGACAGAGAGCATGAGAGGGAGGAGGGTCAGAGGGAGAAGCAGACCCCCTGCTGAGCAGGGAGCCCGACGCGGGACCCGATCCCGGGACTCCAGGATCATGACCCGAGCTGAAGGCAGTCGCTTAACCAACTGAGCCACCCAGGTGCCCCAGAGATTCCATATTTCTTTACCTGTGTTTTATTCATTAGTAATAAAACAAACAAAAAACTAGTAGGAAAAAAATAATTGTAAGAGGGAAAAAATTAATAACCAAATCACTGGATAACATTCATAGACTGGAAACTCAATTCAGAAGGGAAAGAAAAATGTCCGCTGAATCTTCCGAGTGTCGGGTGTTCATTTACCCTTCACAGTGGAGTTAATACCTCTGAGGTACAATGAGGAAAGTAAGAGCTGTAAATTCTGGAGCTAAGATTGGAAGCTGAGGGTTGTTGTTTGGTTGGCTTTTACCTTAAAGACTGAATTCTCTCTTCTCATGCTGCTGTCCCAAGGGTTGGTTGCATATAACATGGGGCCATGTAATAATCTTGACGCCTATGCATCCTAGTTAGAAGGACGCCTCTATGAGAATCCTATCTGCATTCTAACAAAAGCAGACCTATCCCAAGACAGGGGTCCCTGTGAGTAGAGTTTCAACTACCAACGTGCACTCCAAACACCAAGGGCTTTTGTTAAAGGCAGATTCTGACTCAGGGGGTTTGGGATGAGGCCTGAGGTTCTGCATTTCTAACAAGTTCCCAAGTGATACCAACCCTGTTGACTCAGAGCTTACGTCTTAATTGCAGGGGGACCGTGAGCAGAGTAGAGACTGAAGTGCCTGAAAAGTTTAGGGTAAGGAACCCAAGCAACAGACCCTTATGAAAAGTAAAACTTGGTTCCCCTAGGGCAATCCCTTCCATAGATTCTGAGGCCCTTTGCAAAGCACATTAACGTGGAGAATACCCTTCAGATCGTCTTTTCTCCTCAGCAGGCTTGGAGTTTCCTATCCACACACAGGTCCACTGAGTTCCACAGCTGTTTTGTTTGGACAGGCTGGTGGTGAAGTCTGAGCTTGCACACAAAGGGCTTATCATCAACACGGGCCTTTCTCTGACAGCCGTTTTCCTTCCCAGCCACAGGGCTCCGGCCAAAGGGCTTGGTATCAGCAAGCTGGGGTAGATGCCTGGCTTTAAGACCTGCGGGAGTCTGTCTGTCTGTCTTTCTCTCACAAACTCACATCACGTTCAAGATCAGGTTCCTAATTCCATCCTTGCGGTAGAAAAAATACAGAATAAGTAGCTTGATACATCTATCAGTTTTGTCCACCAATGCTGGCGTGGAAGCAGGGACGAAATTATTTCCCATAATGAACCAAGGAATTTCTATAAATCACAAGGAGTAATTTTCAAGTCCCACTGCAAAATCAGCTGCGTGCATATGCGTCCATGACTGAGCCACACGTAGCCCCCCAGCATGAGATGAGACAATATGAAATCAGGATTAGGTATGAGAGTGCCACATCTAGTAGAACCGATAAAAATCAGGGTCGTTGTCAGCTGGGTAAATGGAGAGCAAAAGGCGCCTTCAGCGGCTTCCTTTGGGGAAGGGCTGTTTTGTGCTGGTGAACTGCGCCCCCTGGTGGGCCCGGAGTTGATATGTTTGTGATTCCCTTCCGCAGAGAACAAACGCGCTCTGGAGAGAATTCCGGCAGTTTCAGGTACACAGAGAGATCCTTCAGGAAAAAGCTAACTTTCAGAGCACCAAAACCAAACTGTAGGGTGAGCTCGGCCCCCCGCCTGATTTTGAGCACGGCCCTCCCGCAAGGTACAAAGGGTCTGTCCTCCCACACTGTTGGTCTTGTCACACGTGTGCTTATTATTAGGGTTGTTCTGAAATTCTGACTACTGATTTGAGAGATGTGGAAAACCCTCGTGCTGTGTTTTATCATCCTCTCCTCTAAAAATAATTCTGGACATTGACACAGGAAGGATGACCCACAGCTGGGGAGAATATTTTGTTGTAAAATCATCTGTTTCTCTTACTTCGTGTCTGCTTACCTCCTGTCTCTGAAGTGGTCGTGTGGACTGTGGTTAATTTATGTCTAGGTCTCTGTTCTCCATACGTGTTCTCAAGATAAAGGTAAGTTTTATGATTTTTCGAGGATCATGTTTCTAGCAATCTTATATATTTCAGGGGCAAGATAGAGAGTTTATGTTGTTGTTTTCCCGAAGGATGCTTGCTGAATGTCCTGACACGCACCGGCAGGAGATTTTGCAGGTCAGGCAGAGATGAGACTCGATGGCAACTCTTTCACTCTTTGGAACATTCTGCAACGAATCACACTGCAGCCTCCGTCCAAACAGTTTATAAGCTAAATAAGGAGGTATTTTAAATATTTATTTAACAAGACATATTTTAAATAACCTACATATGTAAATAGAGCGTTCTTAGGCTGTACATTATTGCCAGGTCGATTCTCATGTTCTGATATATAATTAATTACTGGTTTATTCCTCTGTAAACCGAAGCAGGGAATAAATCAGCGATGCCAGGTCACTGATGTCAGCAAAAATTGTAATACCCTCTTGTCAGTGGGTCTGTGCAAGGGGAAATGAGACTGTATAAGATCTAGGGTGGTGGTGTGCCAAACTGTGTCCAAAAGGCAAGTTTTTTTTTAATCCCAATTTAGTTGCTTTATCCTGATGTCTAGACTTTTTCTGTGTGCCACGTAGGTGGGCGTGGGATGCACATTTTCTAGTTTAAAACAAACTCAGAAAGCATATGCAGTGTCATCTATGAATTTTATAGGGTAGAGTCACTTAAAGCAAATGCATACCATGAGCATTTCACGCAGCGTCGCTATATTTAGAAGCAAGAACAACACACATATCAATAAATTGGGTAATTTGTTGGTAGTTGAAAATTTAAATCTTTTTAATGCCTCAGCAAAGTCTGCAAATCTATTTTTAATTTTTTGAGAAATATATATGTAGGTATTATATAGACATATATATTTTTTTCTCCACTCAAAATAAATGTCTATCTTTTAAACTTTTCCACTGAAAATCTCTAAGGGACAGAAGCGTTGAACATAAAATTTGTCATGAATATAAAGAGAACTCTCCTGGGCATAAAAATTAAACAAAAATATGGCATCTTTTCTTCTTAGATTTACTTTCTGAGGATGAAAGATGAGTAATCATCTCAAGTATCTCAGCAAATCTTTGGTCTGGGTCAGCGATGAGACAATCACGTTTCATTTAAACATAAGGCACATGGCTTACCAACAACCCAACCCAGAGTTCCGATTTCTAATTCTGTGTATTAGCTTGCCAACTTAATTCCAGCCAGTGGATTAGCAATATTAATTATCTTGGCACATGGCCAAAACATCTGGAAAATTTAGTGTGAGAATCATTGAAAATAATTTGTTCGTGCCATCATGATAAACCAACCCATTGGTTAGCTGACCTTTTCACCATCACCCCGTTGTCCTGCCACATGTTAAAACATTCTGTATTAAATTTGCATTAGATCCTTTTGCCATTCTGCATTGGGAAGAAGCATTAAGTCTGTGGAAAAAAAAATAAGTACCAGCAACAACAAAATAGATTGAATCTTATGGTGGGGATGATCATCAGATGCATTCTTAGAGGCATTCTTAGATTCCTTTACTTATGGTATTATTTTGGGGCTTAGAATAAGAGCACTTTTTGAAGTTTATAGGTCCAGGGAGATGTAAATTAGTCTTAACAGCTTCTGAACTAAGTGCTGTTATGCAGTTATATAAAGAGGGAAATTAAAGGTTAAAAATTGCTTATCCACCATCTACCAGATTCTCCCTATAGCTTCACGAGGTGTCCGGGGCAATAATTATGTTAGTGCAAAAACAGGACTCAGAATTACTTCTTTAGGCTCTTGGTAAATTTTTAGTTTTGCCATAACTAATATGTTAGTTTTTAAAAATGAAAATGTTGATTAAAATTAAGCTTCTATATCAGTATGGAAAAAGAATTTTCCCCTAAAGATAAATGGTGGCAATACAATAATCAGATTGTCTTCTCATTAAACAGTATTATGATCATTACTTTCGTTCTTTTTCAAAATCCTGTGAAATGTGGAGTACACCTACTTTTTTTCTCTTCCTGCTATGTACAGAGAAAATTCTGGAAATTATATATAAAAAATATATATATAAGAAGGCTCAAAAAATTGAAGAGAGGAAGGCAGACCAGCCAGGGATCTCAAGACCCAAGGAATGACATGATGGTGAGTTTTCGGAGTTTTTGTTTTTCCTCACATATATTAGGCCTGGAGTTAAAAAAGCCAACAACTCAAAAATAGTAATAGGCACTGACAAGAGGAGACCCAATGGAAGCCTGTTTTCTCTAGCCAAAAGGACCAGGAAAAGGGCAACCTAGCAAACATTTGGACAATAACCATTCTACTCTAGCAAACACCACAAAAAATAACTGGATAATGTCAGACAAGGCTAAGTAGGGAGCTAGGACTTTCATCCCTGCCACAGTAAAGAGCCCCCACCCCTGTGATGTTGGTGGAGGTCATATGCAGAGCAGTAACAAGGCACTCCTACCCATCCAGTACAGGGAAATATCATTGAAGGTCTAATGGGGAACTGGAACAGCCACGCCCACCCAACAGTAATGAGTAACATTCGCCCTCTCAGATGTCAACAGAAGCCAAGTAGGGAAGCTGAATTTCTACCCCCATCTGGCAGTAATGAAGGAACACATCACCATTCTTCTACCAGAATAGTGTCAGAGGAAGCCAGTTAAAAGAGAAGATTTAAATAAGATCCAGAGTCTCATAACAGGCTACCCAAATGTTCAGTATTCAATCAAAAATCACTCATCACACCAAGAACAAGGAAGAACCCAAACTGAATGAAAAAAAGACAATAAATATATACTAACATCAAAATAACACAGATGTTAGAATTATCTGACCAAGATTTTAAAGTAGCTATTATAAAAATGTTCCAGTGAGCAACTACAAACATTTTTGAAACTAATGAAAAAAATATTGAGCTTCAACAAAGAAATAGGAAGTCAAAGCAAAAATTAAAAGACATAAAAATGAACCAAATGGAAAATTTTTACGCTGAAAAAATATACAAAAACAAAAAAATTCAATGTACGGGGCTCAACCACTGAATGAAGAAGACAGTGAGAAATATCAGTGAACTGTAAGATTGCACTATATAAACTGCCTAAAATGAACAGCCAAGAGAAAATAGATTAAAAAGAAAAATGAACAGAACCTCAAGGACCTGTGGGACAATTACAAAAGCTCTAATATTTGCATTACCAGAAGCCTAGAAGGAAAGAATAGGTTAGACCTAAAAATGTCCTGTAAGAAATAATGGCTGAGATCTCCCTAAAGACATAAACATACAGATTTAAGAAACTGAGTAAATTCGAAACAGGATAAATTCAAAGAAATACTTACCAAGACACAGCGTAGTCAAACTTCTGAGAACTAAAGACAAAAGCAACCTCAAAAGAGAATGGGGAAAAAAAAAAAAAGATAGCCTTACTTATAGGAGCAAAAATAATTCAAATGACTGGATTTTAAATCAGAAATCAGAGGGGTCACGAGAAAGTGGCACAACATTTTTCAAGGAAAAAACTGTCAACTTCAAATCCAATATTTAGCGAAATATCTTTTAGGAATGAAGGAAAATCAAGATAGCCTCATTTAAAAGAAAACCAAGAAGATATATTGCCTGTAGACCTACCCTAAAAGAATGGCTGAGGAAATTCTCTAAACAGAAAGGACATGATAAAAGAAATTTGGGATCTTCACAAAGGAAGAAAAATACAGTAAGCAAAATATGGGTAAATACAATTGGTTTTTCTTCTCCTCTTGATTTTTCTAAATTATGTTTGAGAGTTGAAGCAAAAAGTATAACTGTCTCACGTGGTTCTGATTATATATAGAAGAATTATTTAAGACAACTGTTTTAATAAATGGTGACTTAGTGGTCGGTCTTCTACACTTCACTCACATGGGTAAAAAGACTATAAGGGTAAATTGTGATAATTTATGTATATAAGATGTAATACCTAGGGCAACCATTGAGAAAGTTATGCAAAGAGACACACTTAAAAATGCATAATAAATAAAAATGGAATTACAAAAATGTCAATAACTTATTGGAAAGCAGAACAATAAAACAAAGGAAAAAGAAAAAAACAGAAAACAAAAAATAAATTGATGTCAAACTTAAGCTCTAAAAGATCCCTGATTACATTAAATGTAAAAGGTGTAAATATAACAATTAAAAACAGATTGGTGGATGGATTAAAAAAAAAAAAACATAACCGAGCTATATGCTGTCTATAAGAAACTTCCTTTAAATATAAAGATATAGATAGGTTGAAGTAAAAGGGAGAAAAAAGATGTATCATGTAAACATTAGGCTATGTAGTGATAAAAGGGCCAATACACAAGGTAGATTTGGAATCCTAAGTGAGTATTCACCAAATGACAGAGTTAAAAAATATATGAAGCATCAACTGATAAAATTGGAAGACAAATAGGTAAATTCACAATTATAATTGGAGAGTTGGATCTCTTTCTTGACACTAATAGAACACCTGAACAGGAAATCACTCAGGGTATAGAAAAACATTATCAACCAAAAGGATCCAATGGACATGTATAGAACCCTTCATGTAACAAGAGCATAATGTGTGTTCTTTCCAAGTGCTCACAGAGCATGTACTAAGATGGCCATAAAACAAACCTCAACAGGGCGCTTGGGTGGCTCAGTTGGTTAAGCGACTGCCTTCAGCTCAGGTCATGATCCTGGAGTCCCTGGATCAAGTCCCGCATCAGGCTCCCTGCTCTGCAGGGAGTCTCCTTCTCCCTCTGACCCTCCCCCCTCTCATGTGCTTTCTCTCTCATTCTCTCTCTGTCAAATAAATTAAAAAAAAAATCTTAAAAAAAAAAAACCTCAACAAATTGTGGGACAGAGTAAAATAGTGATGAGAAAAATATTTGCTCAACAACAACCTATTAAGAACATTAAAAGACAAGCTACACACTGGGAAAAAAATTTGCAAAGCACATATCCAACAAATGATTGGTATTTAGAATATATAAAGAACCATCAAAACTCAACAGTTGAAAAATTAGCACAAGAAACAATGTTTTCCATCATTAGCCATTAGAGAGATACAAATTAAAACCACGGTGAGATACAATCACATTCTACACATCTGAATGGCTAAAATAAGCAATAGTGAAAATACCAAATGCTGATAAGCATGCAGAGAAACTGGATTGTTCATATATTGCTTATGGGAAAGTAAAATGGTACAATAACTCTGGAAAACAGTTTGACATTTTCTTAAAAATCTAAATATTCAACTACCATATGATATAGCAGTTATACTCCTGGGCATTTATATAAGTTTAATAAAAATGTATGTTCACACAAAAACTTGTACATGAATGTTTATAACACCTTTATATGCAATAGCCAGCAATTGGATACAATTCAGGTATCCTTCAATGGGCAAATGGTTAAAGAAACTATGGTACATGCATAACAATAAAAGGAACTAATTGTTAATACATGTGACGACGGCCTGTATGAATCTCCAGAAAATTATAGTGAGTGGCAAAAGTCAATCTCAAAATGTTACATACTGTTTAATTCCATTTATATAACATTATTGAAATAACAAAATTACAGAAATGGAGAACAGAGCAGGTGTTAAGGAGGAGGGAGGGTGGAAGGATGTAGGTGTGGCTACAAAAGGAAAATGTGAAGGATTTTCATGATGGTAGAAATGTTCTGTATCTTTACTGTATCAATGTTAATATCTTGTCTGTTGGGGCACCTGGGTGGCTCAGTCAGTTAAGCATCTGACTCTTGATTTCACCTCAGGTCATGATCTCAGGGTCTTGAGCTAAAGCCCTGTGTCAGGCTCTGCACTGGGCATGGAGCCTGCTTAAGATTCTCTCCCTCCCTTTGCTGCCCCCCCAATAAATAAATAAATAAAAATAAAATAAATATCCTGCTTGTTACATTGTACTATTATTTTGCAAGATGCTACCATTGGGGGAAACTGGGTAAAGTGTCGCTCTGTATTATTTCTTATAATTGCATGTAAATTGAAAATTATCTTAAAATAAAAAAAAATAATTAAAAAAAGTTCTGCATGACTTATAATCAACAGCTCAATTACTGTGGACTTAAATTTAAAAAAAAAAAATAGACTATGGCACTTGAATCTTCTGCAGTCCCAAACAGGAGTGTTCAGTCACTCTGAGCCTACTTCCTTGGCAGGTAAATAGGAGCAATGTTACCTGCCTATTTATTTCACTATGTGTAGCCAGGATAAAATGACAACATAATAACAATTCTAAAAGTGTTTCCCAACTCTTCAAGTACCACAAGAAAAAGAACTAGTGATCACATGAGTGATCTACTGAGAACATACAGCAATGTTAATGTAGGATACTTCAGAAATATTTAATTAACAAAGGGATAAATACTCTGCATTTTGAGTGGAACTTTTCTATTTTGGGGTTTTTGCCCTTAAGACTACATTACTAAAATTTCATTTATTTGTTTATTTCCTCATGTGTTCATTCATTAATTCATTTCATCACTTATTCAACAATGACCTAACACCCACTAATTGTAAGGACCTGTGTTAAACCCTAGGGATAGGAAGATGAGTCAAATATAATCTGGAGAGCCACACATGAGAAGAATAACAATGGGAAAATGGTACATGACAAAAGGGGCATGAAGGTAGCCTGGGAACAGAGGAGGAAGCACTTCACTGTGGAGTCTTCAGGGTACGTAGAGAAAGTGGCATACTCAGATGCCTGCAGGGGCCAAGCATGTAACAAACTCCCGTGGTGTGTAGTGAAGGAACTGTTCTGGCCAAATTTGATGTAACCAATACATAGAAGGGGACCTAGCGTTCTGGAAACCAGGAATATTATGTATAATGATGGTGATACCCTATGGGCTCCACCTACCATGTAGAGCTCACACCTGACCATCTGGTTTATCACCATGTCTACTACAACCCTTCTAGTCCAGGTCTTATTCTCCTCAGGTCATCATTAGCTTTGTGGACAGACCTCCCCTGACACTGGGACTGAGCTCCCTCTTATGTTCTTTTGCATCTTCGCTTATCTTCATGGTACTCTTCATACGCACATATGTACTTACTGGCTCGTGTGCTTTTAGTCCCTATTCCCCCTCTAGAAGATCAGCCTATGATGTCAGAGATTCTGCTTCTTTTGTACATCAGTCTGTTCCCACTGACTATACAACTATCCGAGTACACAGGAGGCATGAAGTCAGTAAGCTTGAAAATAGATGGAATGGCAAGGGTGAGTCAGGAAGGGTATAACACATTCGAGGAAGTGGATTGAGGGTGGCAACAGGAAATGATCCAGAAAGGTGGAGGAGGCTTTGTGAAGAGTAAGGAGCTAGCATAGTTTTTCTTAAGAAGATGGAGAACTTTAACCATCATTTTTTAAGATTTTATTTATTTGTGAGAGAGAGACAGAGAGAGAGACAGAGACCACAAGCAGGGGGAGCTGCAGAGGGAGAAGCAGACTTCCCGCTAAGCAGAGAGCCTGATATGGGGCTCAATCCCAGGATCCTGGGATCATGACCTGAGTAGAAGGCAGACACTTAACTGACTGAGCCACCCAGGCATCCCAGCCTTAACCATTTTAAACAAGAGGCTCTCCTCACCAGATTTGTACTTTAGGAAACTCATTCTTACTGTATTTGGGGGAAGAATTACTCCACCATAGGGTGAAAAGGACTAGAAATAGCTGTTAGGAAACTCTTATAATCATAATGCAAAAAGTCTGAACAAAGATAGGACATATTTGAACACCATACTATGGAAAAAAGTGGAAACTGAGCCCCACATGGGTTTGTTTTGTCTAATTTAGTGACAGACACAGCTCCGAAAGCATGGTCACTTGTATTTTAGCCTTTATAATTCACTTTCTCTTTTGCAAAAGCATACATTTGACTCCCAGGCTCACTCTCTATTCTGGTTCAATACAAAGTAAGACAGGCTTAAAAAAATATGAATTTAAGACTCCATAAACCAAGCAGAGGTCACTTAAGCCTTCAGCAACTCCTTTGGTGCTACTGTTGTATTTCCTATGTGTGGTATGAGTGATTCTGGGGTCTCTTCCTTTACAACCTTTCCTCACAGACTGTCTGTCCCCCACATTTATTACCCTCATGTGAAAAAAAAAAATGCCACATAACATGTGTCTTCTAAATCTCTTCCATTTTCCATTTATGCTCCATTGTCCTATAATCTGTTCAAAGCTGAAAATAGAACTAAGGTATGATCTTAGCACAACCTCTAGTGATTAATGTTATTACTATTTTTTTCCCAACTGAATAAGCTCACAATCAATAAGAAAAGATTCATCTGTGAAAGAACCCCCAAAGAGACCTCCTCCCCTTACCCTTCCACCTTCTCTAAACTTGCCCACCAAGTTCCGTCAAGTCCCTCCCCTCCTCCCCACCATTATTTCAACCCAATCTTACTTTGGTTAAGGAAGTAAATCTAATTAAAGGAGCCCGGGAAATGGAAGCCGTTTTGCAAGTTAAGGATGCTGGATCTGTGTAACTTTCACCAGCGATTGGGCTTACAAGATGGAAAATTCCTTGGGCCGCTAGGCAAAGCACTCTCAATGTTGTTGAAACATCTGGTTTCCTTTGTGTAAAATCCTTTCCACGAGGTGGGCGAAGGTTTTTATTCTAATTGAATTTGTAGTTAATTCCAGATAAAGATGAGTTGCTTTTTGCTGATGCTGTTCAAATCAGGGGTCCCAGCCCCCCTCCTCGGAGCTCCTTTTTACTCAAATGTGATAAAAAGAAGTGGTGGGTTGTTTGGTTTCTGTGAGTCTCCATTTGTTTATACGTTTAGGGCAGAAGGACAATTTCTGATGCACTCAATTCCTGACCTGGTCTTTTGAGTCCTGTGTGATAGAGATCGAAGGGCAGACTTCTATGTCTTGAATGCAGTGTTTCTAACCAATTAAACAAGGGCACAGTGGGCTTTGATTTGAAGATGGCTTACCATTCTCCCTGTCAATATTTCTCTGGTGGTAGCAATTTGTTTAAGCTCCTAAACCATTTAAAAGAAACTAAGGGGTCAAGCTGTCCAGTATTTGCTGCAATATTTCTTAAACAAATTAATATGTAGATAAGCAAAATAAATATAAGGCATACAAGTCTCCCAGGGCCTTTTGCCATGCCTTCTTGACAGCCTTCTTCCTGTAACAGTGGCCTTTGGGAGACAATGTGTTCCTTGAGTTTACATTTTGGATATTATGCAATAAAGGAAGACTATTAAATTATAATTAGTTTTTTTTCCAACCACCCCTGGTAAATGAATAAATCGTCCCAGCCCTTCTCTCTCCCTCCTGTAGAACATCATTTGGGATTGTAGAGTAGAAACTAAAACCAGGACCTAAAATCAGAAGTCAGAATAAGCACCACAAAAAATAGGCTTTCCATAGCTTATCAGGTAGCCTGAAATCTATCACTGTTCCCTTTTGGGTTGCTTATCAAAGCCAATTTTTCAGGTTTTTTTTTTTTTTTTTTTTTCTGGAGGCTTTGGACCTAGAAGAAGGCACCCACTTCTTTTTCTAGAAGTGGGGTAGAGACATCAATCAAAAGCCATGGACGCAGACATTAAAGTAATTTTGGCATTTTCAGAGGTACTGATACTGATGAACTCTTGGTAAGGTTTCCCGTTCTTCTAACGCTTAGACCCAAAGCCTAAAATTTTACTCTTCCTTTTTATGGGATTTGCACTGATTCTTCCAGCTGAGTTAGTTGTCTTCCATCTGGACCTTTTAAGTTGTGGCATGGACATTTATCATTGCACTTTTTAAAATCCATTCACACTCTAAAGTCCTCTGCTGTTTATCTGAGCAATTCATGGGCAGGAGAAATATGACTAATTAATTCCTAAAATTTAGTAGATTCTCAATAAGTGATGTTTTTTAGTTAATGAACTCAAATAGTTATAGAAGATTTAATAGGGAAAAGTGCATTTCTCTTTATTTGGCCAAAGTTGCAAGCTATCACCTGCAATAATGAGAAATGTTGGCTTTTGTAGGTAAAATTACAGGAAGAAAAGAAACAGCTATCTCGGGGTAAGAGTAGATTGATTTCAATTTTTCTCTAATATAAATAATACTGTAACACCCATGGAAATAAATACTGAATACCCATGGAAATAAATTTTTGAGTGCGTCTCAGATTATATTTATAATGTTAATTTCATGGCCAAAGGATATAAATCTCACTTTTCCATATTCTTACTAACTTTGCCTATTGTAATCAAGTTTATTGATAATTGATAGATGAAAGTGATATCTCCATTTTGTTTTCTGTTATATATAAATACATATCATATTATACATATAAATGTTTTATATTTATGTTTTATATATATATATATATATATATATATATATATATATATATATATATACAATTCTGGGGAGGATTATTGGCCCCAATTCTTTTTTTTTTAATTTTATTTTTTAAGGTTATGTTAATCACCATACATTACATCATTAGTTTTTGATGTAGTGTTCCATGATTCATTGTTTGCGTATAACACCCAGTGCTCCATTCAGTATGTGCCCTCCTTAATACCCATGACCAGGCTAACCCATCCCCCCATCCCCCTCCCCTCTAGAACCCGCAGTTTGTTTCTCAGAGTCCATCGTCTCTCATGGTTTGTCTCCCCCTCCGATTTCCCCCCCTTCATTTTTCCCTTCCTACTATCTTCTTCTTTTTTAACATATAATGTATTATTTGTTTCAGAGGCACAGGTCTGTGATTCAACAGTCTTACACAATTCACAGCACTCACCTTAGCACATACCCTCCCCAATGTCTATCACCCAGCCACCCCATCCCTCCCACGTCCCCCCACTCCAGCAACCCTCAGTTTGTTTCCTGAGATTAAGAATTCCTCATATCAAAAAAAAAAAAAAAAAAAGAATTCCTCATATCAGCGAGGTCATACGATACATGTCTTTCTCTGATTGACTTATTTCACTCAGCATAACACCCTCCAGTTCCATCCACGTCATCGCAAATGGCAAGATTTCGTGTTTTTTTGATGGCTGCATTATATTCCATAAAGAAGATGTGGCCCCAATTCTTGATCCGACCTATACCTCTTGTCTGCTATATACCTTTGCAATGCACTTTCACAAAAGGTAGAATATACTTCCCTTCCTTTGGCTTTGGACTTTGCAGTGTGACTTCCTTTGGTCTATGTGAAGTTAGAAGATATGAGGCAAGAAAGATTTGAAATGACATTTTGGGGCTGGTTATGCTTCCTTGTAGTTACACCATCCTCAGAAGAGGCAGATGGCCCACCTGACCTGTTGGTCCCAAGAAGAGGATGGGCCACACGTGGGGTAAGCCTACCCCGGCAAACATTTAACATGAAGCCAAACCATCCTAGCTGACTCAGAAAGCCATGAACAAAAAATAAATGTTTATTGCTGCATACCACTGAAAGATTGAGATTTGTTATGCAGCAGGAGTCAACTGCTACATATATCTGACATGAGCCTGTTACTGGGCATATACAACCATTAGCAAGAACATAACATGACTGCTTATAATGCATTGGGAGAAAAGTATACAATATAAACAACATTATTAATATATATGGTATCAGTTGATTTTTTGATTTGATGAAAAGAAAATCAATAAAGAATAGAAAATGGCATGTGAGAGGTACATCTTTGATTGCTAATAAAGTTGAATATTTTGTATTTTCCTTTCTCAAATTTGCCTCAATGTGATTTTTGAATTTTTCTTTAGAGTATTCATCCTTCTCTAATTTTTAATTATTTTTTATGTGTTACTTATATTTATGTATTAAATATTTATATACATTGGCTATTGTAAATGTTGCAAATATTTTTCCTAATTTGATTAAGATTTTATATTTTGTTAAATAGAAATTCCTTAAGTTGTAACTTAACAGTCTTTTGTTCTATGCTTTGCTGCATGTTTAGAAAATGTTTGCATTTCACTTTTTACATTTAACGTAAATTGCCAGTGATTTATTTTGGTATATAATGCAGGGGAGGATATTAACTCTACCCCCAACCCTGCCAAAAGCTTTCATTAACAATGTTTAATGAATTCAACATTTCCCAGTTGAAGTAAAATGTTGCTACTCTCTATGTAACAGAAATCAGGTGACCTGCATTTTTATTGTTGTATAATATCTAGCCAGTAATATCCCTCCTTGATGATATGAAATGATATTAAGAATTATGTATGAAATTACTTTCAGTGAAAAAAGCAGGTAATGTATGTAACACAATATGCTCCTATGTCCTTATGCCCCTAATTCTATAAAATCAATACGTATGCATAAACACATGTGAGGAAGATGAAAGAAAAATTCAAAATATTACTGACATGTAATTCTGAGTGGATAAAAAGATAATGGATACATTTTATTTCTTTTTCACTGTTTTCTATGTTTTCCAAATTATCTACAGTAGACATATAATACTGCTATAATTAGAAGAAAAACTGTTTATGAATATTTTTTTCAAAAGCTAAAACAAGACTCCAATAACTTGAAAAGTTCTATTAACTAGAAATTCACATCTATTTGTTTGTGCTTTAGATAAAAGAACAAATCATTTGTTGATTTTTAAAAAATTGATTACCAGAAACTTCATTCAGCTTGCCCTTAGCCTATTTCCTTCCCTCTTTCTTTGGAAAGTCATCTCCCAGTTATCTTACTGCTATTCTTAGAAGTGAAGTTGATTTTTTACCTTAAGTTTAGATAATTCCCAATATCTTCCAAGACATGAGGCAGGACTAAATGTACCTGTCTAAAAGGAATTCTACTCCTTGATTAGAGAAATAAATTTATGTTAATATTCCTATTCCCCTTCTAGAGAGGTTTTCTGTAGACACAGAGAGAGCTTCTATACTTGAAGGGAAGTTGGGCTCCATGGCTTCTGAGGATCCATCCAGTCCTAAAGTTGGATAATTCTTAAATTATCAAGAGAATGTATAGAGTGGGCCAGGGGTTCAGGGGCTCACTTTTGAGGGGAAATTTGAATCTGGGAAAAGATGTGTTTACAAAGTGGGCGGAGAACACTTGGCCCCCTTGCTCCATCCCAGGTACACATCTTGACACATCTGAGGTTAGGAAGTAATAAGAAATAGGAATTAACTATGGCCTCTCCTGCCACATGTCAAAGTTAATTCTACTTCAAATGAGTCTTAATTACGCCAGTGAAGTTTAGGGTTTAATAGAACCTGTTCACTGAAACTGTAACTTTCATTATAAGGACTAAGAAAGATGTAAAATCAAGTTCACTTTAAATGTTGTGAACTTAATTTGAAGCTGTAATATTAATAGTTGAGGCAAAAAACTCTACATCTCTCTTGTAGAGTGGTTGGCTCATTGGCATTTCCTATCTGTGAAAATACTTACCCTAGGGAAAACCAAGATCTTCAAAATGATATTAGGCTCTGATTTTCTGAACTTCATGTACTCAATTCTTGTACTCATTTTTTTCAAATTTATTCTTTCTGTGGAGGATATACAACTTAGCAACCTTGTAAACTATTTTTTTCTATGACTAGAAATCACCAATTTAAGAAAAAAATTGATATTGAAATATAGTTGACATATGGTGTTGTATTGGTTTCAGGTGGACAATATAGTGATTTAACAATTCTATACATTACACAGTGCTTACCACAGTAGGTGTAGTTACTAGCTACATACAACACTATTACAATATTACTGACTATATTCAGTATACTTTTTATCCCCATGACTTATTTTCTACCCGGAAGTTTGTACCTCTGAATATCTTCACCCATTTTACCCATCTCCCACCTACCGTGCATCCAGCAACTACCAGTTTGTTCTCTGTATGTATTTATTTAGATTTCACATATAAGTGAAATCATATGGTATTTGTCTTTCTCTGACTTATTTCACTTAGCATGATACCCTATAGGTCCATTCATGTTGTCACAAATGGCAAGATTTCATTCCTTTTTTATAACTAATACTCCATTGTATACATATATAACACTTCTTCTTTATGCATTCATCTATTAATGGACCCTTAGGTTGCTTCCATATTTTGGCTATTATAAATAATACTGCAATAAACATAGGTTTGGATATATCTTTTCACTTTAGTGTTTTTGTTTTCTTTGGGTAAATACCCAGGAGTGGAATTACTGAATCATATGGTATTTCCATTTTTAATTTTTCAAGGAACCCCCATACTGTGTTCCACAGTGGTTGCACCATTTCCATCCTCACCAACAGAGCATGAGGGTTCCCTTTTCTCCACATCCTCACCACCACCTGTTATTCCTTGCCTTTTTGATACTAGTCATTCTGACAGGTGTAAGGTGGTATCTCATCATTTCCTTGATGACTAGTGATGTTGAGCATATTTTCATGTGTCTGTTGGCCATTCCATCTTCTTGGAAAAATGCCTCTTCAGGTCATCTGACCATTTGTTAATCAGATATTTTGTGTGTGTGTGTGTTGAGTTGTATGAGTTTTCTTAATATATTTTGGATATTAACCCCTTATCAGATCTAACATTTGCAATATCTTCTCCCATTTAATAGGTTTCTTTTTGTTTTGTTTTGTTTCATTGGTGGTTTTCTTTGTCATGCAAAACCTTTTTAGTTTGGTGTAACCCCAATAGTGTATTTTTGCTTGTTTCCCTCACCTGAGGAAACATATCCAAAAAGATGTTGCTAAGGCTGATGTTGAAGAGGTTACTGACTATGTCTTGAGTACTCTCTTCATTACTATAGCTTTATAGTTAAGTCTTTCTAGTAAGCCTTACAGTGTGTCAGGTAATATTAGTTCTCCAACTTTGTTCTTCTTCTTCAATATTGTTTTGGCTGTTTTGAGTCTTTATCCCTCCATATAAAGTTTAAAATCAGTTTGTTAATATCCACTAATACCTTGTCGGGATTTTAATTAGAATTACAATAAATCTATAGATCCATTTGGGAGGAATTAGAATCTTGACAATACCACATTTGAAGTATTCTAAATTCTAGTCTAGTCTATTCTAAATTCTAAATCTAGTCTTCTTATCTGTAAATATGGAATATGTCACCATTTATTTAGTTTTTTTTTTATTTCATTTACCAAAGTTTTATAGTTTTCTTCATATACATCTTGTATATATTTTTATGATTTATACCTAAGAATTTCATTTTGGGGGGTACTAATGTCATTGATATTGTCTTTTTAAGTTCTAAAGAACTAAGTAGTTCATTATTTGTATATAGGAAAGCAGTTGGCTTTTATATCATGCAAAGTCACTATAATTGTTTATTAGTTCCATGAGGGTTTTGTTGTTGTTGTTGATTCTTTTGGATTTTCTAGATAGGCAATGATGTCATCTGTGAACAAAGCTAGTTTTATGTCTCCCTTCCCAATCTGTATAATATTATTTCCTTTTCTTGCCTTACTGCATTAGCAAAGATTTCTACTATGATGTCAGAAAGGAGTGGTGAAAGTATATATCTTTGTCTTATGTATAATCTTAGCAGAAAAGCTTTGAGTTTCTGACCATTAAGTAAGATGTTAGCTGTAGATTTCTTTTGTAATCTTTATCAAGTGAGAATGTTCCTTTCCTTTCTATTTTTATTTTACTTAAACTTTTTGTCATGAATGAGTGCTGCATTTTGTCAAATGCTCCTTCTACATCTGTTGATATAATCATGTGATTTTATTTTTAATCGGTTAATGTGAATGGATTACAAAATTGATTTTCTATTTTGAACTAGTTTTTTATATCTGGGATAAACCTTACTTGGTTAACTCCTTTTATACCTTTTTAAATTTGAATTTGCTAATGTTTTGTTTAGGATTTTTGCATCTATGATCATAAGAAATATTGGTCATTAGTTTTTTTTTTTCTTGTATGTCTTTTTCTGGCTTTGGTATTAGGACAATACTGCCCTCACAGATGAGTTAAGAAGTATTACCTCTTTTGTCCTCTCAAAAGATTGTAAAGAATTGGTGTAATATCTTCCTTAAATATTTGGTAGAATTCACCAGTGAGCCCATCTGGACATTGTGTTTTCTGTTTGGGAAGGTTATTAATTATTGATTCAATTTTTAAAATAAGTTTAGGTCTATTCAGATAATCTATTTCTTCTTGAGTGAATTTTGGCAGAATGTGTTTTTCAAGGAATCGGTTTACTTTTTCTAGGTTATCAAACCAATGTGTTTTGAAATCCTCATAAACAGTAAATTCATTAGGTTAATATTTTTATTTAGGAGAACTCTGCTGAACTGCAAAAATATAAAACATGACTTGGGTAAATATGCTATTATCATGTAGTGATATCTGTGCAGTTATAGAGATTGGATAATTATCATATTGAAAAGAGAGGAAGAATAGAGAATGGGAAATAAAACTGTCACAAATGATGCATTGTAGTAAAAATTCAGAGGTAAATACATTAGCGAATAGGGATGAGCTGGCAGTGACTAGGGAAATAGAAAGTCACTGGAAAGGGCAAAGCACTAACTGGATTACTCTAGAAGTTACTGAAGTCAGACTTCACTTTTGTGGATTCTATACTAGCAAGAAAACAGACTTTTTGAGGTTAGAGTGGGTTTCACCCTGTGGGCTTGAGCAAGTCCTAACTTCCCTGAGCATTTGTTTTTTCATGGGGATATTATTCACAGTAGAGATATCAAGGGGCTGATAAGAAATTTGGATAAGGAAATGTGTTAAGTGATACTCTAGACCTGATATTGTACACACCATTCAGTAACGCTGTGATGGAATATTCATCTATGAAATGAAACAAGACAGGACAAAGGAGATTTGTGTAGACTCATAGTGACCAACTTAAAAAAAAAAGTTACATTAGTTTATCTCCTGAGTTGTATTTTCCAAAATGGGAGAAGGCAAAGCCTCTGTTCTACTGAAATCCTCAGGACATACTTTGCGTACAATAGATTGTAAATTTGTAATTGTCTTATCAAACTTGTAGCTGGAGAGAGAGTTTGTCCCACCTGCCTGCATATCCCATTGGACAAATGAAAGGCTCCCTTCTTTCTCTTTGATGTGGTTAATTCCCCAAACCATTGGTGATTGCAGGACCTTTCTGAAGAAAAGCACTCCTTGAGTAGGAAAGCAGCAGTAATGTTTTTAAGTATGTTCTAGCTCCTTAGATTTAAGGGACAACAACAATAAAATGATTGTAAGAAAAAATCAAATGAGAATTTTCACACTTTTGTTTTAGGAAACACATGGTGACTGATCATTGATGTTCTCTGAATGAGCTATCAGTAGGGGCAAAGAAGATAATACAGAGCTGCCTAAATTCAACCTAACATTAAATTTAGCAGCAAATACAGGGCAGTTAAAACTCCAGGCAGTCATTTCTTAATCTTTACAGATATCTATTCCTTTAAGGGGTTTTGCTTATGTTATTTCTGACTTTTTTTTTTTTTAAGTTAGTGTTTTTCTTTTGAAATAATTAAAGGGGAAGGAAGTCTAAAGAGAGACTGAGTGACATCCAATATTCCCTAATACCCTCTTGTTGCTTTAGGTGATTGGTATACTTAATTAAGGAGGGGCCTGGATCTATCATCAACCAGGGCCTGACCTGGGGGTGGGAAGGAGTGAGGTGTAACCTGACCGAGCCCAGGTGTGTGCCTGCAGGTCACACACTGGGAAAACATGTGGCCCCAACAAGCCTTTCCCAAGTCTGGCCATGCCTTTAACCATTTCAGGTCTTCTCAAATGTCTACATTCTCTCATGCTTAGACCATGTCAACATGCTTTCCTCTACATTAAGATTTTCAAGTTTGAAAAGGAAGTGCATAAGGTTAAGAGACTTGTTTAAGGCTGTAAAGTCTGTGGCAAGGAATAGAACTCATCTCATCAGACTGCTGGTCACTACTTTGTATGCTACATAAAACACAGTGTCCCTTAAGCATACCCTCACTAATCCACACAAAGTCTAGTTATTTAAAAAATGTTTTCTTCTTCTAGAGCATAGCATTACTTTTTTTCTTCCTTCCTTCTTTGCTCCCTCTCTCCTTCCTTTCTTCTCTCTATCCTTCCCTTTCCTTTTTTTCTTCCTTCCTTCTTTCCCTCCCTCCCTCTCTCTCTTCTCTCTCTTCTCTCTTCTTTTTTCTTTTCTTTTCTTTTTTTCTCTTTCTTCCTTCCTTCCCCCCCTCCTTCCTTCCTTCTCTCTCTCCCTCTCTCTCCTCCCTCTTTTATCCTCTCTTCTCATCTCTTCTTTCCTTCCTTCCTTCCTACCTCCACTCCTTCCTTTCCTTCTTTCCATCCATCTATCTATCTACCTGTCCATGTCACAGGTCAACAGACTACTGCGTTCCAAAAAACCTGGTCCTTGTGCATCTATATGTTTTCCTTAAGGAAAACAGTGGCAGATGAGCTTTGTTCCTTGTAAATTTTCCTATCCTGTAAGAGGTATTTATTGATAGAAAAACTCTGGATAGATGGGAGAAGCTCCAAAAGCCTGTACACAAATAGCATTATTGGGAAAATAAATTTAAGTGTCCTCCTGCGGACAATCCTATTATAAATTGTCCATGAACTACAAGATATAATATTTACAGACAAAAAAAATATTAAAAAAATAAATCATCTTACTTGACATCAAAAGAGAATGTGCTATTTTGAATAAATACCTGCATTTGGTTATTTAAATGGTTTACATTTCTTTTCTTTCTTTTTTTTTCTGTAATTCTATTTATTAAAAGCACTTTAAAACTGATAACACATTTGCCTGAATTTACAAATAGAGTCAACTGAATTTATATTGAAGGTTATCTTCATTGTGAGGACAGGTAAAATAGTTTTTCTTCACTTTGTACCTTAAACCCATGGACTATATTGATTGATGTCCTTTCTTTTTTTTTTTTTTAAGATTTTATTTATTTATTTGAGACAGAGAGAATGAGAGACAGAGAGCACATGAGAGGGGGGAGGGTCAGAGGGAGAAGCAGGCTCCCTGCCGAGCGGGGAGCCCGATGCGGGACTCGATCCTGGGACTCCAGGATCATGACCTGAGCCAAAGGCAGTCGCCTAACCAACTGAGCCACCCAGTTTTTTTTTTTTTTAAGATTTTATTTATTTATTTGTGAGAGAGAGAATGAGAGAGAGCACATGAGAGGGGGGAGGGTCAGAGGGAGAAGCAGACTCCCTGACGAGCAGGAAGCCC